ATTAAAAAAAGGAGTCTTGGGGAACTCTACAAGTAACAGAGTAATCGTGACTATGTGTTCTATTAAGAAGATAACTTTTAATACTACTGTTACTCAAATGCAAGGAGATATGATAAGAAGGATAGGCTTTCATATTATGTTCTGCTGTCCGTGAACTCCTGACCAGCGTTGGATTTTTACAAAACCTGTATATACCTCATAATTTCACTAATCTCGCTGTAGGGTACAATTTTTCAATGCTTAATGACTGTAATTGAATGAACGAACTTGTGGCAAATGTAAAATTGGATATTTACCAATGTTTTTTTCGAATTCCCCTTGTAATTCACGCAAAACATACATCCATCATCAATGTACTCAATTAAGGCTTAATCTATCATAATTATGTAATGCGTTGAAACATCATTTTAGTGCAAGGGTATTATTTTCTATATGAGTAGTTACATCAACTTAAAATGTGTATTCTTTAAATAATACATGCTAAATACGGCGCCAGATGACTAATTTAAATTAAAAAATGTTTTTATTCAACTGTGTCAAAAAACGTCGTTTTTGGGATAGAAAACAATCGAAAAGTAGAACTTTTCTGTATACTTTAAACAAGCTGCTGCAAAATAATTTTGAGACCCATATGCTACAAAAGTCAATAACGAAAATTTTCTATTTAGTTATAAGAAAAATTGAAAATAGGGACCTAATATCATTTTAGATTTAATTTTCTACATTTTTTTTTTTAATATCTTAGCAAAACATGTTTTTTCGTTCTTGTAACATAAACTATTATTATTGTAGATTTCTATTTATTAAAAAAAAAAGAATTGGACGGTTCTTAATCTAATCCCGACTAAATCGTTATTATTTTTAAGGCTTCTGTATAACCATATAGGTGTTTTTATCTGATAACTTTTACTAGATTAAATTTCAGGAATTATCCAAAATAAACAACTAATACTTCCGGTGCGGTGTAATAAATCGATTTATCACTATGAAGCAATGTCGGCTTAATAAGAAAAGACTACTTTTCACTTGAGTAAATATTCGTATCTGTTTTTATACGGCCTTTCCCTTTATTAAGCAATATTTGATATTTGTTTTATATTTGTACAAGGTAGGATTTTTATCATGCATAGTTTAAATAATGTCTTCTTCCAAAATAAGCCACGAGATTCCGAGACATGTCAGTGTTGCGAATTTAACCTTGAATAAGTGGTTTGCGACTCGGCTAAGCGATCCAAGATGGCGGTCATAAAAATAAAAATCATGCGGAATGCCAGAGTCAACAGGGTATTAAGGTATATCTTCACTATTATTGGGGAAAAACGGGGGAGTGGGGGAAATTACATGTAGATTAATGTTGAAGAGAAACATCACGTGCAGAGGCAATGCCAAAAAGACCTAAATCTATATCTTTATTGTTATTGGGCCGAATCATATGGGAAAAACGGAGAAGTAGGGGAAATTACATGTAGATTAACTTTGAAGAGAAAAATGATGCGCGTCAGCAAAGTCAAAAGGGCACTAACGTTAATATTCGTCCGATTCAAACGGGACAAACGGCACTATGAAGAAGACACAATATATATTAACGCTGAAAAAAAAGTATATTTCCAAAAGGATCTAAGTTCATATTTCCACCATTAATCGTTTAGAAACATATTTTTTGGATCACCCCATAGAATTACCACTACTATCTAAGAAGGTTCAGGTGGGGGATCCCATATGACTCATAGTCCCAATTAAATCTAATTTACCACTCAGAAGTCAAATTTATTTTAACAGAACAACATGAAATTCTCTTATATCTTATTTTCTTTCAGCTTACACTTGCACAACGAATAAAACCACTCAATTTGTGCATATGTCGTCTCGAAAGACTTGAAATCGACATGTAATATCATCGTTTCTTGAATATTTTAAATGCTTTAAATCCACTTCTCCTTTAAGTACGGTCTAGATCACAAAAGAACGCCTAGTAAGAATAAGAGTAAGTAGTAAGGAGGTGAACACGTGTCCTCATAAATGCTAGCCACTTTTTCCAAGAGGAACAGGAAAACAAACGGAGAAACCGGCGCCCGACCCTCGCTATTGATTTTCCCAGTCACGGCAAATAAATAGCCTTGTCTTTATTCTCTGTAGGTACAGGTTGTCCTGCGACTCTTAGAAATTGACATTTATTTAATCAAACTTAAGTTAGTTTTTTTCTTACTCTATAGCTTTGTGAATCAAGCTTTTCTTACTGCAAATTATTCTTGTGTCAATGAAAAACAAAAATATATTTTTTTTTCATTTGTTTTAGAAATTTTATGTATTTAGAAATAACCTAATTGTAATAATATATAATAGCATGAACATTATTTACTATAAGTAATATGCTCCCTTTTTGTATGTTTTCTGTGGAATTTTGGTTACTGTTTATTCCCAAAAATCGAACTAACAATTTTACAAATTGAGGGCATCTACATTATTATATTTACATCCATATCATTTCATTAATTAATTTCAGTTATTTTTATTTCATCACTTTTCTACCCTTCAATTAGTTATAATAATATCAAAATAGAACAACTAAAAACATACTCAATTTCTTAAGTGCTCCTTTACTAATATTAAAGCTGAACTCTCCACTATAATATTTCTTGAACTATGCAAGCTTGATGGTAGTAATATCAAGAAATTTTCGGTACAGATTCATTTGTCAATAATTTCATTTTAAATTAAGCATTTTTTGTTTATTATTTAGTAATTTTTGTTAAACGTATCAAACGTTTAACTTTAAATATTGTAAATGTCAAATTTAGATAGGATATTTAAAATAACCCGATAAATGTTTCTATTAGAGGAGAGACAAACAAAATAGCATGCGATTCAAATTTCAAGGCCACGCCACGCCTACAAGAAGTTATTTAGATTGGAAAACTTCGAAAGAAAAGAAACAGCGGTAATTTACTTTTCGTCGTTGTTCTCTTCAGCCGATACCATCTCGGGAAATCTGTTCACTACGTAATAACAAATTTGTCATGGGAGTTTTATCTAGAGAATGCCAAAAAAAAATGATTTAGATTCCAATCATTTATTAAAAGTATCTCACATACTTTTTTTAATGCTAGCAAATTACGGAAAATGATACAGATTTTTGTAGGTTTTTTGAATTAAGAGACAAAGAAAAATATTAAGCAATTTATCAGAATTTTATAATCAGGAAAGTTAAGTCAAATTTAAAAACATCTCAGAAATTACTTAAAAATTGATAAAAACGTAATCAAACTTATTAATTAACTACTTTTCATACCCAAGTCTAGGTTCGGTTTTAAATTTTTCTTATTTTTGAATTTCCTAAACTGTTAAAATAAACTTTATAATATTTACTCCATCCACATCATTACTACCAATAGCAGCAACCACTAACGGGTACAAATTAAATAGATTAGTTAAATGTTTGATAGTATAAAATTAAAAACAATATATATATTTATAGGATGAAGTATAACTAATCAAGTAAAATTATTAAGAATTTAAAAGCTAATAAATCGTTAAAATAAATAAAGAACTTGACGTTTACTTAAGTAATTAGTAATTTTACATATTTTTTTCTGTTACCTTCAAACAACATTCTAGTGCAAAGCAATCATAATCATTTTCTAGTTATGAATAGTCAATATTCAAGACTAATATTTATTATTTGGTGTGTTATACTATACATACATCTTACTTTTTACCTTGTTGCATAAGAGCTTTGATTATCCTATTCGTTTTTATAAGGATTTCCATTAGCTAAGTCAACAGGTGTAGTATTGATAAAACTAATCTTTATTAGCTAATTATAGAATGTATTCTTGTAGGTTGGGCTGTACGTTTCAGATTGCAGAACTATTAAAACATCGTTTAGGGCATTTTTTACAAAGTATGAATGATTTAAAATTTGGCCTTTATTCAGTTACAATGTTTTATTTTCAGTAGTACCTAATAGCTCAACGAAATTGACAATTTTTAAGTATTTATTAATGTTGGAGGGTTATTCGGATATATTTTCTTTTGAGCTAATTATAAAAAAGTACCAACCAAAAATTATATTTAACGGTGTTAGTTTCTATAACTGATGAAGATGTATTTAATGTTTTATGGAGTTGGCATTGTTACGACCTGTAATTTTTGAGCTCTTGCTCTTTAAAACTATTTTTGACCAATAGATTGACTGTGGTCGACTACTAGTAATTTTTTTCCTTGGTATTCAAGTCAACTTTCATTTCTTTGTAATATTTTTCCTATAAAAGCTTTCTTGTTAACTTCCACATATATTTGATCGTAGCTTTTTCAAACTTTATACAGGCGTTACAGATACAGAACAGATAGTCCATCTAGTAAAAATTAAACCAGATAAAATAGCGAGAAAAGTAATAGAAATAAGAAATCAACAAAAAGGAAAACTTAGATAAAAATGATAGGAGCAACAAAGAATGGAAGCAATGGCTACCAATCCGACGCTTGAAAATGTAGAAGGATATGAAAAAGAAAGAAAAAGAATAAATATCTGATTTGAAAATAAATAAATAAATAACTAGTATTCAGGAGAAAACGAATTTTTTTGTGTTAATCAAAATTCAATATTCGTAATATTCAAATTTATTAAATCCTATTGCAATTTTGTACAGTTTCTAAAGACTTTCACCTTCTTTCGACTATTTTGTTTTTTCTTTCTTTTCTTGTAATAAACGTAAATCATTCGGACTAATTACTAGAATTTGCTTCGCTTTCTGTGTACACACGTTTAAGGAACGAATTATTTAAGTACCGTGTAAATAAAAATAAAGAGGTTGTTCACATTGAACTAAATTGATTCGATAGACAAACTGGTTTATAAGAAATATTGTTAAATTAAATGATTTTGAATGCTTACCCAATACGCTCAATAATTCCATTGAGTGTCCCGAATTTCTTGTTTTGTTCCAATTTAATTTTACCGTTTATGAAACAAATTAATCAAGTATTCTTTTTTATTTCAGAATGTGGTGGACGTTGACTGGAAACTTCGGTAATATTCTTCCAATAGATTGGTCCAAATCGTACGCCCGGAAATTACAAATTAACGCTCTAAATTTAGACCAGGTAAATTCTTAATATTTATTCCAAGTAGATGTTTTATTTTAATTATAACAGACATTTGTCGTGGTAAAAATGTAAAAGTTTCTTAAAAAATCTTTAATATTCTCAAATTTTAAATCGTCGTCATGCTCCTATACCTAATTACTAATATAATAAGATTTAATATAAAACTGATAAACAATAAGTAATTTAAAGTATACAAACAGAAAAAATAAGTTACTGAAAAGGCTATCACAATGAAAACAGTGAGTTGAAGCCGATGAACGTTTACAAAGAAAACGAAAACGGTTCATTGACCATTTACAAAAGGGCCACGATATTGTTTCCAAGCACGACAAAAATATTTACATAAAATTCAGAATTATTTGAAGAAGCAAACTTTATTATATGTATATACAGGGTGTGCCAAACTTGTCTCAGAACCTAAATAGATTTTTTCCAATTGTAATGGATATCGTATTAAAACATATGAGAATCACGAGCGCTTTTTAACATACGTAGTACTTATAGCTGAAAATAGAAGAAAAATCAACCATCACCACTGGGCATTCATCTTTTGTCACCGATATGGCGGGACATTCGTCTTTATTGCTCTGAACACATTTATTAAAATTCGATGTAATTTGTAACCCTCATTGGTTTAGCTCTAGAAGATTCTAAGGTATTTTAGGTGTGGATTCGCATATTAATCTCAAAATTTTCGTTTTTACCTCTGTAAAATAAATTACTTAATGGTAAATGTTGATCTTTAGAATAGAAAGAGAATAATACAGCTGAGATAAGAGAGGGAAAACTGTAAATGAGATGAAAGAATAAGCTTAAATTGTTGTGAAAAAAGGATGATGCACGCAGAATATTAAATTTTGACAACCTTTAAAAAAATTAAAAATTAAACTACTTCCATATGTAAAATAAGTAGTAATTTTTAATTTTTACTCTAACATAAAAATGAAACTAATCGAAATAGGTACAAGGAACATTGACAGTTGAAACTATAGACATTTTAAAATGGAACAAATACGTTATTCTATTTTTTTTATCTCTAGTTTTTATCCCGATTTCTCACAATAATACCTACTTATTTCGGAAAAGATTTTTTTTTTAATTCATCGCTGAACTATTATTCATAACGGGCATTCTTGTGTCAGTTTGAAAGCTCACCTTGCCCTAAACGTGACCTGAAATCGAAAATATTGTCAGATGGTTACAGTACCTAAATGAATTATTACTAATCAAGGTGAAAGCTAAAACGTGTTATCATTTCTCTAATGTATTTTCAGTTTGTATTATTTTAAAATAATTAGATTCGTAAAATTGCTTTAATTATATAGAATAAACGAAAATGATTCAGGATTTCAAATAAATTCCATTGTTGTGGAAACGGGATCTCTCAATTAGTAATAATCCTATTAATAATTGATTTGGAAGATCCTCTTTTTTTGACGAGTAACAACATCTTTAATATAATTTTCTGTGTAATGATCAAAAACAACGTCAATATGTTGTTCTTTATATTTGTTTTGAAATACAATTTTTGAAAATATTCCTTAAATCAAAAGACAAGTAAAGATTCCAAAAATAAATAAAAGGTCGACCAAAAATCGGTAGATTTTGAAGAGGTCAGCGCATCAGAAGACGAGGAGAAAATATAATACGATTATTACACAAGATTGTAAGTTGTAGTTTTTCTAATAAAAAAAATATGAATATCCATGCTGTTTAATTAAAGAAATATAATTGAGGGCCTTAGAATAAAATGGGTATAAGTGCATTTTGGAATAAAAATGGTACAAGTGACGCTTGTACCTGTTTTGCTCTCACCAAACTGTAGGGAATTCTTCACATAGTATTTCTACTCACCAAAAAATGGCAGTCTAGGTCAACACCATTTATAAGTAAACTATTTCTTTCTATTGAATTTTATTTTTAAATATTTACTGAATCTGTAGTTATATGTATTTTATTCTATTGTAAACAGTTTTGTCAACAGTTTATAGCGGCAATAGCTTATTTATGTACATAAATTATTGCATATTGTTAACCTTCAATGCACACATTATACACAATAATAAAGGTAAATACATTTTTCGGTTATTAAACCTTTTGTAATTGCGATTTACTTCGATATATTATGCTATTAACACCGTGTCAGTTTTAATTAAAATAATTTGCTGTTCGTATTTTAACTTGCTTTGCGTTTTTATTACATTCATTATTAAAATTGATGATTTATAAAACTAATTATAATTAATGTAAATAATATAATATAATTAATATTGTGGTAGATAAGTTAAACGAGTTAATTATACTTAAATTTAACTAAGATTTCTAATAATTAGTTCCGCCTTTAATAATGTTCGAAATATGCCTTTTTAGCCAAAAGAAATCACCACACCAGAAATGATTAATAAAATCCATTGTGATTTGACCTGTATCTTTTTAAAAAATCGTACAACTTGTATTTCTAATAGAAATAGTGATGCTAATTGGTCATGTGACTTCTGAGTAGTAGGAGATGAATTAACATATTTGTTAATTACAGTAACATTTTTTCTATGCATTTTTAAGCATCTTAAGATGTTCCAGGTGATCTTAGAAAGTTCAAATAAGCCGTTTTTTCCTCAGTTAGTAAAAATCCTTATTTAGGTAAAGCCAGTCCAATTTACTGCCTTCTTATCTTTCTTATTTTTTTTTAAAGCTTTATCTCTTAACAAAATCATTATTTTTATAGTATTTTCTTACTAAAGTAGCTGGATCAAGAAATTATTTAGATGTGAAATCATTTCATCAACATAATTAAATGAGTAAATTATGTCCCAATTCACTGATAAGTTAATGTAAATAAAATCATACATTACTGTGATATTTTGCAAAAGTTTCATTAAAAAAAAAAAAAACTGTAGGATACATTTTTATTTTCAGGAACCCCAAACACCTGAAGACGATCTTGATTTAAGTTCGGAAGATGAAGCTGTTGCTAGCGATCTGGACATGCACGCCCTAATCCTCGGAGGTATTAACCATGAATCGGATGAACCTCTAAAGACAGCCGACGAAGTTATCAGGGAAATCGACGATATGATGCAGGATCAGGATTTGTGTTCTATGGACGGCAACCCCGAATCCAGAGAACACCTTCTGGAGAATAATGAGGTCATGGAGAAAGCCAAGGAGGTGCTCAGTTCTCCCCTCTATGAGGACAGTAAGTAGAAATATACAAGGATTTTTATAGAGTAATTACTAAATTAATTAAAGTAAGAGATATAAATCTCCTATGGAGTTTGTATGCAGATTATTTACCATTATTAAGTGTATATCAATTTATGATTTGATTGTATACTTTTCAAATTTAGTATATATGTAACCAGAGAAAACTACCAGAAAGATAAAGAAATATATGACAGCTAAAATTGTGTTTACATAGTTATCCTAGAAAAATAAATGTCGTGTAGAAATTTTTATTTTAAAATTAGCTATAAATAAAGACATTTATTGAATAAACATGTTAAAATGAAATCTACATATTTTTATCGACTACTTATTTTAAAATAAATCTAATATTTTATATTTTTACATGACTTTTCACAGTAGCCTGTTTATGAATTCAGACTGTAAAATTGCAATGTAAAGAAAAACATTCCTATATTATTGTCCATAAAAACATGTAAACTATTTAAATATTACGAATTGAAAAGAACAAAGTAGGTGAAGTTGGTTATAGCTGATTCATCACTTTATTAATATGGCATGGATATTGTTTTCTGTGACTGAATATAGATTATCTAAATTTACATTATTTATTTAATTTAAAACCGGTGACCCAAGCATTTGCATATTGTATTTTGCAATACCCAAAGCGTTTAAATAACAAATAATAACTGTACTTTGTTTTCACTTTCTTAAATTTACACATGTCTAATGTTCTATCAATTTTTAATGCAAAATTTACCATAGAGGTCATCAAGAATTGTCAATGTTTGTATTTTTATATTTATGTTATGTATTATGTAATTATGTATATATGGGAAGTATTAATACACTATGACCTAAAAGACCAATAATTACAATGTAACACTTTTGAGCTTTCAAATTGATAAATTTTTAAATTGGAGATATCGCTACGAACAACTATAAATCAAAATTACATTCATTGTCCTATTAAATCTAAAAAAAAACTCTAAAATCCTCCTAAAATATTTTTATCTTCCAAATGAGGATAATTTGTTGTATGGTTGGTAATAGAGGTTAGAGCCTGGCCATCAATCAGTTTTTCAAAGGTTTTCTCATATCAAAAAGCAAATGCTGAGTCAGTAACATTCTCTCAGATACCTACCACCATTCCTTTTACCTAATCCCGACGATTCCCTGTGAGGCTAAACTGGGAGAATGAAATACACATTTTTTACCTACCACTTTTGAATCTATTTTATTTATAAGCATATACCTAGAATTTTCCATGCAACTGTAATTTATGATAGGAAAATAAACATAAATTATTATTTGTTCTATTTTACTTTTCTAGAATTGCGCGATTTGAGTCTATCCCAGCTAAACGAGCTCTTCCTCGAATTGGAAGTGCTCATCAGAGAATTCTCCGAAACGTTAATCTCCGAACTGGCCCTCAGAGATGAACTGGAATACGAGAAAGAATTAAAAAATACGTTTATCTCTCTTTTATTAGCTGTACAAAACAGGCGAAGACAGTACCACGTCGAAAAGAAACGCTCGGCTAAACATTCTTCCAATAAAATTCTAAACGGTATGGATCCCAAAGTAAGTAAAATTAATTATAATAAGTTTTCAAAAATATCCGTATCCCATGTTGACTAAGTTGATGTCATCAGTTGGTTAAAAGTAACATTAATAAACTGAAGAAAGATAAGATAATGATCAATTACATATAATTTTGTAACATGTTACATACATAATTTTTTTCTAATTTTGACAAGAATATTTATAAAATTGTGTTTGATAAAAAACTACTGCTATTTATGCAACCAATATTACTTTCTTGTATTGTTATTTACATATGCATAACTTAATTCATTTCATTGTCAAATAGAAAATCATGTTAATTTATTGTCAACGAGTTGTAGTGTGTTTATTTCAAAAAAGTTTGTTATTTTGTCGTGTATTATGAATGAAAAATAATCACCAATAACATTATTGCTAAGTTGTACGTTCATTAAGCAAATTCGATTTTTATATAGCCAACCTTTGCTCTTTTGATATAAATTCTCAAAATCAAAAAAAGTTTATTTTTATTTGTTTTTTTCGTAACTAGTGACGTAATGAATTTTTCGCAATCAGTTTCATAATGTTCAACTTTATACAACTGGTTGCACTTTTTGAACTGACTTCTGACATATATGACTCAAAATTTAATGAATTTATTCGTTAATTTCTTCATGAATAAACTTAATTAATTTTTAAAACGAGATTAACATATTACTTCATAGTTCGGTTGTTTTTTATTAATAGTAGATATTAGCATTCTCAAAAAATCAGTATCTTTACAGACTTTATTAACTGTTATTTTCTTTAAATATTTTCGTCATTATTCATTTTATTTTTTAATTAATTGCCTCTGTGACATTTTATGGACTCAAAAAACAATTATTTGTAAATATATTATCATTTGATTTCTATAATTATTGCAGATAATTATTTTTTTTTACGAATAATAATAATTATGGAATATTAATGCTCTATTAAATTTTATTGGAGCTTGATAATGTGATTTTTCTGAATGACACGAACTCCATATTATTCACATTTTAAATGTCTATCAAATTTTAACAAAAGTTTTTTGTATGTATGACACTTCTTCTTTTACTAATGGGACTTGAATAAAAACAGAATCTTCTATAAAATTTAAACAGAAAAAATAAAACGAATCACCAAGCACTTTTTCTGCTAATTACATGTAATAACGTTTGTAGTTTATTAATATAAGTGTAAAGGGTGTTTCATAAAGATCTGACTAACTCTTTAGGTCAAGAAATAATCTTTACTTTAACATTCAACATGCATTTAACTTTATATTTTGCAAACGTGGTTCCATTACGGATGAAAGCATATTTTGTTTTTAATTTTGTGAGAAATATGTAAATATTAAAAAGGGGGAGAAATAATTAACTCCTTAGCTCCTATTTACACAAACTCCCTCAACTTTGAAAGGTATACCACGCTTATTTTTTATTTTCAGACATTATAAGTAAACTGATATTATTTTTTGAAGTACACTATTAGCCCTTGAGAATGAGTTAGACATTTATGAAGCACCATTTATATTTTTAAGAATTTTCTGTCTGATTAAAATTGTTTACAGTTTAACACATTGACAATGTATATGTATGGGATAAACTCTCGTAATCCAACTAGTACAGTGGCGTAGCCACGAGGAGATTTTGGGGGCCAGTAAAAACAATCTTACCTGAAATATTTCACTTTGTTGATGGACCCTCCTTCCCTATAGTTCTCAGAAACCCCTCCCATGAAAAATTTCTGACTACGCCACTAGTACATACTTTTTTTAATAAACTTTCTCAAAGGAGGTATAATAAATATATTTTTTTTTTTCAGTATTTGACTACAGTAATTCCTTATCATATAGGAAACGGGCCTCCAGATAATCAAAGTCTCCAGGTTCTTATTAAAAGTGAGTATTCATGGAACAATAGTTGCTAATATTACTTTTTTTCTTTCTTTTTTCCAATTAGCAGCTGTTAATTATGTATAAATAAAATTCGTTTTCTTTAATTTTCATTGGGGTTGTGGTTGTATAAAAAAACGTAAAACTTCAAGAACCAAATGGAAAATTTTAAAATGAAAAACTGGGGTAAAAATGACTCTCCACCTCAACAAAAAAACGCATTTTCTAAATAATATGTAACTTTTATTTTCAGTACTCAAAGCCATTAATGAAGATAGTCCAACAGTGCCCACCTTGTTGACAGATTATATATTAAAAGGTAAGAAAGCGAACCTGCTGTATATATAATTTTGATGTAGACAATTTGTTAAAAATTAAATAAAAGAAGGAACAAAATATATAATTTATCTTTTATGTGGGTCAAATAAAACTATTTTGGTGAAAGACCAAATACTCTTTTCTAACAAAAATAAAAAATAATGATGTTAATAATAAAAATAAAAATATTGACACTACAGTAATTGTTCGCCTTTCTATCAAAATCAGAAAGTTTCGGCCACATTGCAACATTGAACCAAACTCTGTACAATGAGCTATTTAAGTTAAATAAATTATAACCTATCTCAATATTGCAATCAGTATAAGACTTAGTTTTAGTATCCATTACGCGTATTTTTATGTATATTTTTCAATTAATTTTTTTTCTAATTATTTCCTAATGCATTGTATTTTGTTTTACAGTAATCTGCCCGACATAAACGACACTTAGCCAATAGCTACTCGTTATTTAGTATAAAGAAGCTTTCGACTGCTACAGCACACTACTACTACTACTACAATAAGTACGGAAACATTTTATTTTTACTATTAAATACTTGTATCTTTGGGAAGAAGCAGACAAACTGCTTTCACTTCATACCTCACACAATTAGTAGGTGAATTTCTTTTTTCTCTCTGCAGCTTTTTTGCTAGTATTTTTGGGATAAAGCCAAAATGTTAGCTGTAATATTGTCACTTTTAGTTAGCACTTTTAAATAGGGTTGCCAACATCGTTATTTACTCCCACATAAAATAAATTTTATTAAAACGAATCCCACATAAAATCAATCCCACATCAAATCAATCCCACATAAAATAAATCCCACAAAAAATTAATTCCACCTAACTCAATCCCACATAAAATTAATCTATAGGCATTTTATAATATTCATCGATGCCAACCAACATTCATCAAAACAGTTCTTTTATCCATAATTTTTTTTTAGATGAGTCAATACATCATATTCTTAAATTCAACCTAATTCTCAGATGGTTCTCACCAAACCTATCGACTCGATTGTGTTGATGCACTGATGGATTACGTGACATAACCTTAAATTATTAATTAATATTAAAATAGATAAGGAAATAGATAAAGTTGTCTCAAAATTCTCAATAATATGAATGAAGAAACTCACTAGGTTTTAATAACTCACTCTTCAAATGGGTTAACTTTTAAAATAAGATTGTCACCGTTAGATATATAGATATAAATCTCACATAAAATTAATCCCGCATAAAATAAGTTTCAGTAAATAATCCCACGTAATATCAATCCCATATAAAATCACTCCCACATAAAATTTATTTTATCAGCATCGCATTTCGTTGGCAATCCTATTTTTTCTGATTCAGCTTCATCACATTATCTTTTACCCAAATATAAAGGCAAAAAATTTATATTTCTATATTAGAGAACTTTGCTAAATAATATTTTGCTCGAATTGTTCTAAAAACAAAACTCTTCTTCTCTGTGATACGAAAAACGATATTTTTTTTGTTTGTTCTCTCAGCTGAAATGACAAATATTTATTTATGTTGTAAATACTTAAGAACGTTCTAGTCTAATGTCTTGCAAGTGAAAAAAATAAAATAAATTTAAGTAATTTAAATTAACATTAAGCGTACCTTTGTCTTTAAGCACACTTAACAATGAGTTTTTGTGCAATATATCATGTAAGTATTGTTTTTGTTCTAGATTATAATTGTAGGTGTTAAGTAAGGTGTAAAAGACTGTTTTTGGACCCAGTTTTATAAATGTATTAATTTTATTTTTGGTTATGTAATATTTAATAACCGCACAATTAATTTGTTTAGCTTTTGAATGACTTTAAATACGAGTACCTAACGCGTTTGATATTCAAATTACTTCTGTCACAATTCAAGTCAAAAACCAATACTCTTTTCTTGAAAATCACCAATGATATTTATCAATTTATCTATTTTCCTATAAATGTGTAAATAAATGAAAAATTCTTGTCAATTTGACATTGAGACCCTAATTGATAAAATGCAACATTCAATAATAGTTTATTTACTAATTTCATCATCATCATCATCCAGTCTATTCAATTCACTGCTGAACTTAAACATTCATTCAATCCTTCTATCTCCGGTTTTGGGATTAGTTAGGTTTACTTAGTTTCCAGAAAACTCTTATGTACTCGTTACTTCAGTGGTGACTACTTTTTAATCTAATCACTCATCCACTTTACGCTTTCTAATTCTTTCAATTATATCTCTTTTTATAAAGTTAGGTGTTTTTAATAATATCTTGCAATACAATTCCTAGTATAGCTGTTTTTATTTTTCGTTTTACAACTTGTCATTTGCGCTTCTACTTCTATAATGCTTAAGTCAGGATACAGTCAACACTTTAAACGTCTAGATGATGTTTCAGTTTTAAATTTGCTACCCTTGACATACTAATCCTTCTTGAAGGGTGTTGATCTTATTATCATGACTTCCATATCATCATAGGTAATTTGATCCGTAGTGTACAAAAAACATAAAATATTCAGTTAAAAAATCATAATTACTAGCATTTTCGCTAAAACCGGAAGTCGACCATTTTGTTTAGGTATATGTATCAATTACAAATTATGTCTAGTTGATTTGTCCCAAATTTTATTCAAATTACTCTATAATTAAACTAAATATTAACCTGTTCAGTATAATAATACAATTGTGCTAGTTGGACGATTGTTCTAAACTTTGGACAAAGTCCTAAATCTCCTTTATCTTAATATCTATAATTAAAATTATTTTCAAGTCTCGTACGTTGTGAAACACCAAAGTTTACATATTTTTTAATAGAACAATTTGTAAGTCAAATTAAAATACTGGGTATTCCATTTAAGAAAGAAATATCTTTGTGCTATCACCAGGTAATGAAGTATACTATGATTTGTATTAATAAGTTTTTCTTGTAACTGTTAAGATAACGAAGATTTAGAATTTTGTTTAAGATTTGGGATACTCTATATAGTATATATAACTGATTGTTCATAACCCTGTCATATACTTTCTATGCAACATTATTAAAATATAACTTTGAGTAATCATATTTAATAAGGAATTATAATAGTATTTAATGCATTATGTTTAAACAGTTTTAATTACATTGTAATGAGTAAATACAGAACTTTTCCTGCAGAAGTTGGACAGTCGTTGAATAACTGTACAAGATAAATCGATTCAAGTAAATTTAAAAAAAAAAATAGACAAAATAATGACATTTAAAATTTTGGCGGACGCGCAAAATATTTGATGGTAACGTAGGGAAATTTAAAATTATGGTGGATGAACCTTGTTATTTAAAACTAATAAATAGTTTTATGGCTAAAACAGTCATCTTAAAGAAAACATTGAAATATAATAATAAGATTGAAACCTATCAAATTACACACGATCAGAAATTAAAATATAAATATGAAATTTAAAAAATTAAAACAAGGTTTTTTGAATCTACCATGTAATTATTTATATATACATTTTAGCTTATTTAAAATTCATAAATCTTTCTGCCTGAATTAAGATGTAGTTCAACTAATTTTTGAATAAACTAATTCAAAGAAAAATCTCTCTTGGGATAAAATGGAACATAAGTTCAAAAGAATGAAATATAACAAAATTAGTTCATGCATTTTACGGTTTTCTACGAGTTTTCTACGGATCTTTACATTTTAGGTTCTTCTGAAATCCATTTTGACCATTTTTATGACGCTATTTGTATGTGTCTGTATCCACCATAACTCAAAAATGTATAAAGATAAAAATAAAAAATTTAAACTTAAATTTAAAGATTTGACGGCATATTTTGAAACGCAGGTATACTTTGATTGCTTTAAGAATAGACCAGGCATGTCATCAATTTTTTTCTACTGAATATCAGTGTCGTATAAAATAAGCAAATGCTGTTGATGACTCAGGTGCAAGTTTCTTTTTAAATCAATTGCATTCTAAACAGTTTAGGTTAGGGGATAATATATCGCCCTGTCTACGTCTAGAAGAGTTTGAACGATACCAAGCATATAGTCTAACTTGTGATGCTTAGAAGTGATGCGTTTTAACTATTACCAGAACTAAAAAAAAAAGAAAAAAAGACGTAATTAATCTAATTTAAATTTACCCTAACTTAAAATTTAAAATAATTTAAAATTCTAAAGTTATTTAAGTAAGGTGAAGTAGGTGACAAACTAATTTAAAATGCAGTGCAATGTATCTGAATATATTTTGATATTTTGTTTTGGGTCCAAAAACAGGGCTGTAAACGATGTCTTGTTCAGAAAAGAAAGTGTGAGCTTTGTTTAGATGATATTTTTGTAAGCGAGAAACTTTTTTTTTCTTCAGATGTACTGTGTATTTGGAAAATCGTCAAGTACCTAGTTATTAAATATTATGTAACTGAATTTTTAATACTTATACAGAGCTGCGTTCTTCGTTCTTGCCATATTATTTTTTAATGTTTTTTAATTATTGATATTTGATGAGTAATCATAGGAAAATAAGAGGATTTTGTCTTAATGTTACCTGTTTCAAAATGCAGCCTATATGTAGAAGATCTCATTGAAATAAACCTGTTCTCCCTCAATGTGTTTTATTTATTTTAACCACTGTATCCTATAAATATTCATTTATATATATTTTTTAAAGTGCGCCTTTTCTTTAGGCGGATATATACAGAGTGTCTCATTAAGAATGGAAATAAAATGTTACCATGCCGTATACCACTGGTACAGTTTATTTAATTTTTTGCTGGTAGGTATATCTTAGTACATCAAAAACGTTGGCAAAATTGTAAATTAATATAAACTCTGTCTTTGTCATTAAGCTAGGTGTCATACAGGGTGTCTGTAAAAGGTCTTTACAAAAACATACCACATATTCCTTAGACCAAAATAAGTCGATTTAAGTAAAATTACCTTAGTACAAAGTTGCTTCGTTTGGGCTCCAGAGGGCCTTGAAGTTACAATTTTTAAATCGTTTTTCCCATATAAATTTAAAACGGCATATGCGATTTTGCTGAAATTTGGTATATTGGTAGAGTTTTATGTGGCAAAAAAAATGGTATTAAAATTTTGTCCGATAATAATACATATGCGTAGAACTTGATTTTTTAAATAATTGCACCTTTAAAAATTCTACGCCAATGGAAGAAAAGGAGTTTGAGTATGAAATTTAGATTGCGCAACTCATTTACTTTAAAAAAGGTACTCTTTATAAGACTCGATTACTCTCGTGGTTTTCGCTAAATTTCTGTTTTAATAATTTAGAGTGTATAGGTTTCACAAAAATATTTATTTACAACATAATCAAAATAGAGATTTTACAAAAATTGTTCAAAATGTTCACCATTTTCACGCATACAAAGATTTATACGCCGAAGAAAATTAAAATGTATCCTTTCCATAACTTCTTCATCACCTCTAAGATGGTTTATTGCATCTTGAATACGTTGCCAGAGTTGTTCCTCATTTTCTACAGGTTCCCTGTAAACTGTGGATTTCAGATGTCCCCATAAAAAGTAATCCATCGGTGTTAGATCTGGTGGCCAGTTTACAGATGCGTCATTACCTCTGCCTATTCATTTGTGTGAAAATTGTTCATTCAAGTGGTTTCTAACGTTTAAAGAAAAATGTGGTGGAGCTCCATCTTGCATAAACCACATATCTCCCCGAAGTTGGAGAGGTAAATCTTCTAACAATTCTGGCAACGTATTTTGTAGAAAATCCAAATAATTTTCTCCAGTTAATGTTCGTGGAAGTATGACAGGACCAACAATGAAATTAC